CCTAGATGAGTGTATGCTTTCATGCTTAGCGATGGTGCTATTTCTTGGAGCAGTAAGAAGCAATCCTGTATCGCCTTATCGACTATGGAGGCTGAGTTTGTGGCTAGTTCATCTGCCGTTCAGGAAGCCGTGTGGTTGAGGAGATTCCTTCAGCATTTGGAAGTCGTCACACACACTTCAGACCCCGTGACTATCCATTGTGACAACATGGCTGCACTCGCTTACGCTAAGGATCCTAAATACCATGGCAGAACCAAACACATTGATGTGAGGTTCAACTTTATCAGAGACATTTTGGCGCAAAAAGAAGTGATCCTGGAGCACATCCCTACGAGTCGTATGGTTGCGGACCCCTTGACTAAGCCCATTGCTAGAGATGTTTATCTTACTCATGTTAGGGCTTTAGGACTACGTAGGTGGTGATATTTTTTATGTGTATTCAGTTAAACTCATTTTTTGGGGATATTTATGCCATTAGTATTCATACTTGTTTCTATTACACATTTATGTTTACTACTTTTAGTGATGGTCTGTGAATTAGCAAACACAAAATAATTAAATTGATGTTAGCAGGAAAGATTGGCTCACTCACATGGGCAATCGCCCTTAGCGCTAGGTAGCGAGTAAGGATGAGACTAGAAGCTAAAATTATCCACTAGCTATGTCGCCTTGGTTGGAGCCAAGATGAGGTCTTGTTAGAGACTGACCATGGATATGAAAGTACCCACTTCTCCATGATATGTCTGTTATGGATAGCCAGATGCGAGATCTCATTTGATGCCTGAGAGGCGAGCAAATAGAGAATTCGAGTTAGACGCTAGGAAGCGACTCGTGCGCTTAAGAGCGACTAGACTAAGATCTGTGTGGTGTGTGAGTTTAACATCACTCTTTGGAAGAGTAACTCCACTATAACATGCATTCATACTGCATGTGCTTATCGACCCGTTAGCGAGGTGAAAGAATGGATCCTTGCTTCTTCACCGTGTGAGTCCTAAAAGTCATTTTTCCCTAAATGACTTCACTTTGTGCCTTTTGTGACCTTTGACTATGTCATAAGATGAGGAGTTGATGTTCAGCTACTTTGGTATGTTGCCTGCGGTCATGTATGATTCGGCTTTAAGGGACATTACTGGGAAAGCGGTCAATTTAAATTGAATGATATGAGGGTGAAGGGAAGATCATCTAGTTCTACATCTTTGCTCTATATTCACTGTCGACAACTCACATCGCTCTTTATAGGATCCTGATTGGGTGCGAATATAATGCGGGACCTAGGAGAGTCAAACATGCTCTTTGAGGGATTAGAGATGTTTTTGGACTGATGTAGCTAGATGGGTCTGGGTACATGAGACACTATTTCTGTTCTTTTTGGGTTGATGTCTCTATGCTGACTCATATTGAGTTTCTAGTATAGAGCTCCCACATGCAGGTGTTCTCAGCGGTCGCACGGTGCATTGGGTAGTATGAGATTGTTCATTTTTGGGGAGATTGAGATAGAGATGTGGCAGTGTCATGCCAACTCATGTGCGAGTGGGAGATGTTAGTAATGGGCGCCCATGTGGCATGACCATTTGAATTTGAATTTGAACCTTATCCAAATAGGTTTTGAAATTGAATTCAAACCTATTTAGGATAGCCACTCACGATACGGATATTATCTCCATTAACTGATATGGATAGATAATAATAACATATTATATATCTGGAATATGGTTATGGGTGATTAAGAGAGAAACAACGTATGATCTGTTTCTACCCATATACTGACTCTCTCCCAAAAACAACGATAAAGTCTTTTGCACTGTGATTTGTGTGGGTGATATTCAATCTGTGCTATGACTTCACTGCTGGGTTGGTTTATCAGTTTCTAGAAGCACGTGATTTATCCACGAGGTTCTATCATCAAAAAGGTATGATCTAAACATTTTATCCGTTGCATGTTTTGTGCTTTGATTTACAGCTGGGTAGGGGGGGAGTGGGGTTCCTGTGGTCGCCTTTGATGCTAGATTATTTTGATGCAATCAAATAGGATACAATCATCGATAAAATGGTAAGGTATAAATTATATTATATAACCAGATGAGATGAAATATTAGCTATATGATAAAATTTTGAAAAATAATTTATACTTTCGAATAATAGACGTGAGGAATCCCATGGTATAGACTTCTTCAAGAATGTGTACCATATGCAATCGATTACAAAATGTGTAATTTTATCTCAAATTTTTTTAATATCGACTACAAAAATGCACAATTTCACTACAAATTTATGTAATTCAAAAAAAAATTATTAATGTGACAAAAGTGATGGCGGACGGTGTGGGGGTGGCTAGAAGAGTGTGTGAGAGAGAAAATGAATGAAAATTTATTTTTTAAATAAGTGAAACCAAATAAACAATGAAGTATATTATAATGATATATATACATCAAAATATATGAACCCAAGACATTTGGTATAATTAAAAACATACTTATTACTTAAGCAACATACATATTATGATATTAAATTATTTACTATTTATTTTTATTATTAGTTATTTGAATTACACACGCATCGCGTGTGTCACCCACTAGTAGAAGAATAATTTTATCTCTAAAAAGTTTAACTTAAATAAATAAATATAATTTTAATTATAAATTTATTTTTAAATTGAATATTCACTTTAATAGTCAATATAGTATGAGAATTAATAAATTAAAATTAAATAATAACTCTAATTATTTAATTTTATTTTTTATTTATTTTTCTATTAAAGATATTTATAAATTGAATTTTAAAAAAAAAATTAAAAGTTTAATTAAATATGGGTTTCGACATATCTATAATTAAAAAAAAAATTACACATTATGTTATAGAAATCGTAACTTAAATAACTACTAATGATAACTTTGGGATAAGCTTCCATCCATCTCATCTTTCTGTATCTTTTCCTATGTTTTTTTTGTAGGTTTCAATCCGAACTTACATTGATGATCCAAATCCTATATCTCGTAGGTTTTACAATAAAGGTCATCTAAGAAAAAAATTAATTTCGTCAGAAATATTATAAATACGAAAATAAATCACATTTTGTTTTAAATGAATGGTAAATATAATTAAATTTAAACCATCTATTTTAAAAAATAAAATGTGATTTCTTCCTATGTTTATAGTTGTCTGATAAACTTAATTTTTTGTATAGATGATCTTTATTACGGGGCCTACGAGATAGACCATATGAATCATTAGTACGGTTCGAATTAAAATCCCTAAAAGGAGTATGAAGAGGTACGGAGAAGATCTTATCCCAATAACTTTATATAATATTAAGGGAGACTTACGTATAGGTCCTAATAAGTAGAGTTATTATTCAATAGTTCCTATGTCCTTGTTTGGGAACAAGTCATTTTAGTAACTTTTTGATTTTTTTTGCTAAAATATGAGGTAAAAAAAAATTAGTATGTTTGATATGAATTTTTAGTTTTAAATGAAAAGATGTGTAAAAAATAGAGAGAAAATAAAATCATTGATTTTTTTATAAAGTTTGTTGGATTTTTAGCTTTTTTAATTACTTTTTGACTTTTAGACAAAAATGTGATGTTGATGACATTTTTCATCATACACTATTAAAAAACGTCACTAATTGTTAATTTTCAGCGATAGTTTAAAAATTTTGTTATAAAAAATGTCACTAATTATAAATTTTGGCGACAGTTTAAAAAAGTCACTAATTTTTAACATTCAGCGAGAATTTAAAAAATGTCACAGAAAAACGTCACTAATTATAAGTCTTAGTGACAATTGATTAAAACCGTAATAAAAAAAGTCACTAATTGTCAATTTTTAGCGACATGTAAAAAATCGTGACAAAAAATTATTTTTATCGACGATTGTAATAAGACTTATTTTCAATAGGACTTAATGAAAAATTAAATCCAACTATTAGGACCTATTGGTAGTTTATCCTAATATTTAAATTATAACGTAGCACAATGTTATAAGCACAAAAATAAATATTTATTAACTTATTTAATTGGTTACTTAATAAAACTAATATTTAAACAAAAATTAATATATAAAGACTTAGGTGTGTATATGGAATCCTATTAATAAAAATTAAAATGCAAACCAGTTAGTGCTACTGCTGCCAATCAAATCTCTAAGAGAAATTAGAACCGGTGAATCAAATCTATAGATGGTATGTAGCTTCACAACAAAATTCATCTTATGACATCTGGTAACCACAAAATTTAGAAAATATAACACACACACATCTATTCTATCATTGAACAAAATTGTTTTCATCTCCAAATGCACAATGCCTACTTTTTGTAGAGTATTGTTGTGTGATTACCAATTTTTACACCAAATTTATATATCATTTTGACGTGTAATCACATAATTAGTGCATCAGTAGGCACCTTTCATGCATTAAAATGCACATATACATGACATATAAGATGCCTCCTCAGATGATGGAACCTAACTGTATAGGGATAACTTGAATATGGAGCCTAATAGCAAGAGGAACAATACATTATTTAACTGTATAGTACAGAGAAAAATTGACATTTTTTTCACTATCAAATTCCATTTTAGTTTAGGTGTTTTCTTTTGTCTAACATTAACAATACATTATTTAAAAGTAATACAAATAAAACAAAAATGATTGCCTACAGAAAATATAAGGCACAATAAATATGGTAAATGGACCACCCCAATATCCTAAATGTAGAACTGTTTCTAGAATTGGGTAATCATACTGTTCAAGATAATATTGTGCAACTAATTTAGCTACTTCTATTCAAATCAATCACAGGGACAATGGGTTACGTTTGTCAGACCCACATTAGAATCCCTGATATAGAATATATATGGTTACAGAGAAATTTTCAAGTGTTAATCCAACTAAGATCTATCAAAAGCAGCAGTTGCAACAGCTGATCATTACAGAGCCACACTACACACCACAAAAGAAATTCAACACTAAAAAGAGTCAGAAAGAAGTATGGACCCTGCCTTAGGCTGAAGAATGGTTATTGTGGACCTTAGCACAGTGATCTTCTTCATCTGGCAAATACCAATGGGGGAATTGAACAAAAAGAGCGAAAAAACATAAGGAACATCCAATCTAAAGATGAAATACTTACCAAAAAAAATCTAAAGATGAAACAGAAGTTAACAGGTAACTTTCACTGGACATACTTTGAACAAAAGCAGGGGTATATAATATTTATTTACCAAATGTTGATCAGCAGATTTCTTCTATATAGCACAAAGAATCCCAAAGATGATGCCAAATTTTTATCGAAGGAAAATAAATTACATACATAGTCAATAAAAAATTGAAACAAAGAATAGTACGGGATGTTGGTTGAAGAACAGCTGTAGGAGGAATTGCAGTTGCTTTGATAGGCTGCATACTCCTAACAATACATTTTTCTGTATGGTTTGGACCAAATCATTCTGTGTTCATCACAATATAAGCAAACACTACTCAACTGCAGAAAGAGGAAATAGTGGATTACTCAACTGTAAGGAAGATGGCTTGCCAGGAACAACAATACCAAAAATGCTTGATTGAAACTTTGCAGAATTCAGATTGCGATTGAAAGACGACACCTAAAACGAAATAAAACAATAATAATAACAACAATGAGAGCAATTTCCATGTCGCACATTGCAATCCATGAGTAGTGAAAACTAAATGACATAATGTGGAAACAAAATTAGAACAAAAATAAATAAATAAATAAAAATAAAAAATACACATACAACAGAATTAAAAAAACAAAGAAAGTTCTAAGGTTGAGAATTTAACTGGAAAAAAAGAAAAAAAAAATTACCAACATCTCAATAAATAAACATTACCAACATCTTGGGATATGTTAGAATCAGGCCATGGTATTTGACAATAAATAAATAACTAAATAAATAAATAAATTTAAAAAATAAAAAATAAAGTGAGAAGTTAAGTTTTCAAAAACCTAATCGATGTTTTCATGATTTTCAAAATAGGAAAAACCAACTCATGAAATAAAATTAATTCTAACATCTCTAAACAACCAAATAAGAATCAAAGAAAAACGAAAAAATTGAACAACAACACAATGAACATAATCCACAACTACCTCTTTGGTAGCAGATGAATAACATCTCAAAGTGGATACTGCAGGCTGCTGTATCCTCTGCAAGGATTGTTCTAAAATCTGAAATTAAATACTATCTATTAGATGCAAAAAAATCTTCCTTTTTCAAAATCAAAACATACAATTGAAAGACCTACCGGAACAGGAAATCCTCCAGCTCCAAGTTTTTGTCTTGCAATCCTCCACATCCTCACAACTGAACTAAATACATACATGCATAGTCCACATACACAAAGAAACCATAAAATTAAGCAGATAATATCTCCAAATCAGAGGCAAAACAAAATATTATACATAGTTCAAACCCGAATTGCAACAGACGGAAAATAGTCAATCATGAAAAATCTAGAAATCCCCTAGATATTGATTTATGATTATGTAACAATTTTAAGCAGTATATAACAATCCCAATCAAACAATCAAGACAAATCAACACAACGATTTTAACGTGAAAAAACCACAATTGGACACCTCCAACTGTGATAAAAAAAACCACGGGCAACAGCCACAAAACAATCCACTAAGAAGATTTAAAGGAATTACACAGGTATACTCTCAATTACCTAGCGAATCCACGCCTAATTGAGCCAACCACTATGTGCCTCTTTCAATCCCGTCTTCACCTCGGAATTGTCTTTACGATGAGCCACACCAGAATCCACTGAAGCTTCAGGCTCGAATTCTTCAGAATCCACCGAAGAATAACTCTCTCTCTCTTGTGTATAACAAACAAAACCTTTGATGTACTCTCTTTAAACCATGAGTTGAATACTCAATAAAACATAAAAAAAAACTAACAAAATATCCCCAGATATAAACTTTAAGAACCAAAAAGAAGATCTGGAGGACTTGAGGAGTAGTATAGTTTTTGGGAGGAAACCAACTACTTATAGAAAACCAAAAAGTAATCCTAGATTTGGAAGAAAACCCAATCCTTATTGAAATCCGTAAAACTGTGTTCGCGCAGTCCGCTCGAGCGCCCAACATCCCGCTCGAGCGTCTTCAGTAAAATCCGCGCGTGATATAACAGAGGTCCGCTCGAGTGCTAGAGAACCCGCTCGAGCGCAAAATCACATATCTCAGTACTTTTACAGGCGACCAAAACTGCTAGAACCAGGGATTCTCCACTCGAGCGGGGTAATCTTGAAAGCATTAGCATCACAAACTTCTCTGAAAGGCACAATTCGGGCTGGATTCGCATCTAAACACTCATAGCCTCACTGAAATAAAAGTGCGAAAATAAATACAACTGAAAGGAGTTTTGTCAAACGGGGTTGCCAAGAATAAAAGCTAACAAATCAAAAAAAAACAAAAAACAAAAAAATTTGTTTTAAATTTTTTATCATAGACCACCGTTAAAGCAATCCTATTCATACGGGACTCAATCAAAGATAGTCAGTTAAACACCAAAATCGATCAAAATCATTCAAACAGATCCAGTAGGTAATCCATAAAGTAAACCACGCAGCAATAATATATAACAAATGTAAGTACATCCAATTCGAGAGAGTAAAGTTCGTACAATCGGAATTAAATAAATAAATTAGAACAAAAAAAAGTTCTAAGGTTGAGAATTAGAACAAAAATAAAAAATACACATACAACAGAATTAAAAAAACAAAGAAAGTTCTAAGGTTGAGAATTTAACTGGAAAAAAAAAAAAATTTTACCAACATCTCAATAAATAAATATTACCAACATCTCAATAAGCATTATCAAAAAGGGATATGTTAGAATCAGGTCATGGTATTTGACAATAAAGAAATAACTAAATAAATAAATAAATTTAAAAAATAAAATCTAAAGTGAGAAGTTAAGTTTTCAATAACCTAATTGATGTTTTCATGATTTTCAAAATAGGAAAAATCAGCTCATGAAATAAAATTAATTCTAACATCCCTAAACAACCAAATAAGCATCAAAGAAAAACGAAAAAATTGAACAACAGAATAACATAATCCACAACTACCTCTTTGGTAGCAGATGAATAACATCTCAACGCGGATACTGCAGGCTGCTGTATCCTCTGCAATGATTGTTCTAAAATCTGAAGTTAAATACTATATATTAGATGCAAAAAAAATTTCCTTTTTCAAAATCAAAACATACGATTGAAAGACCTACCAGAACAGGAAATCCTCCAACTCTAAATTTTTTCCTTACAATCCTCCACATCCTCACAAATGAACTAAATACATACATATACATAGTCCACATACACAAAGAAACCATAAAATTAAGCAGATAATATCTCCAAATCAGAGGCAAAACAAAATATTATACATAGTCAAACCCGAATTGCAACAGACGGAAAATAGTCAATCCAAAAAAAAATTTGTTTTAAATATTTTATCATATACCACCATTAAAGAAACCATTACCATTAAGAATTTAATTGGAAAAGAAAAAAAAAGCATTACCATTAAGAAACCATTATACTATTTACCCCAATCTATCAAAAACAAAATCAAAAGCATAAATCGGGTCTCTTGCTCCACTGCAGCCAAGAATAAGAAATATATTTGTAATTTCTCTTTCCTGATTGGTATATATCAACTCTCAAATTATATTCTTATATTCTTATTTTTTGAATCCATAATGGTGTTATCACTGGCTGGTGATTTTTGATTTTGTTTTGATAGATTGGGTAAATAGTATAATGGTTTCTTAATGGTAATGCTTTTTTTTTCTTTTCCAATTAAATTCTTAATGGTAATGTTTCTTTAATGGGGTATATGATAAAATATTTAAAACAAAATTTTTTTTGGATTGACTATTTTCCGTCTGTTGCAATTCGGGTTGAACTATGTTATAATATTTGTTTGCCTCTGATTTGGAGATATTATCTGCTTAATTTTATGGTTTCTTTGTGTATGTGACTATGTATGTATGTATTTAGTTCATTTGTGAGGATGTGAGGATTGTAAGGAAAAAATTAGAGTTGAGGATTTCCTGTTCTGGTAGTCTTTCAATCGTATGTTTTGATTTGAAAAAGGAAATTTTTTTTGCATCTAATATATAGTATTTAACTTCAGATTTTAGAACAATCATTGCAGAGGATACAGCAGCCTGCAGTATCCGCGTTGAGATGTTATTCATCTGCTACCAAAGAGTAGTTGTGGATTATGTTATTCTGTTGTTCAATTTTTTCGTTTTTCTTTGATGCTTATTTGTTGTTTAGGATGTTAGAATTAATTTTATTTCATGAGCTGATTTTTCCTATTTTGAAAATCATGAAAACATCAATTAGTTATTGAAAACTTAACTTCTCACTTTAGATTTTATTTTTAAATTTATTTATTTATTTAGTTATTTCTTTATTGTCAATACCATGACCTGATTCTAACATATCCCTTTTTGATAATGCTTATTGAGATGTTGGTAATATTTATTGAGATGTTGGTAAAATTTTTTTTTTTTCCAGTTAAATTCTCAACCTTAGAACTTTCTTTGTTTTTTAATTCTGTGTATGTGTATTTTTTATTTTTGTTCTAATTCTCAACCTTAGAACTTTTTTTTTGTTCTAATTTATATTTAATTCCGATTGTACGAACTTTACTCTCTCGAATTGGATGTACTTACATTTTATATATTATTGCTGCGTGTTACTTCATGGATTACCTATTGGATCTGTTTGAATGATTTTGATCGATTTTGGTGTTTAACTGACTATCTTTGATTGAGTCCCGTATGAATAGGATTGCTCTTAACGTGGTCTATGATAAAAAAATTTAAAACAAATTTTTTTTTTTGTTTTTTTTTGATTGTTAGCTTTTATTCTTGGCAACCCCGTTTGACAAAACTCCTTTCAGTTGTATTTATTTCGCACTTTTATTTCAGTGAGGCTATGAGGTTTGATGCAATCCAGCCCGAATTGTGCCTTCAGAGAAGTTTGTGATGCTAATGCTTTCAAGAATTACCCCGCTCGAGTGAGAATCCCTGGTTCTAGCAGTTTTGGTCGCCTGTAAAAGTACTGAGATATGTGATTTTGCGCTCGAGCGGTTCTCTAGCACTCCGAGCGGACCTCTGTTATATCACGCGCGATTTTACTGAAGACGCTCGAGCGGGATGTGGGCGCTCGAGCGGACTGCGCGAACACAGTTTTACGGATTTCAATAAGGATTGGTTTTCTTCCAAATCTAGGATTACTTTTGGTTTTATAAAGTAGTTGGTTCCTCTCCCAAAAAACTATACTACTCCTCAAGTCCTCCAG